TGGCAGTCAGCACAGAGCCCGACGCGGGGCTCGAACCCACAAACCGCGAGATCATGACCTAAGCGAAAGTCGGACGCTTAACCGACTAAGCCACCCAGGCGCCCCTAGGCTTGTAAGTCTTAAACGTAGAACAAGAACAGTGGCTTTTTACAGGAGGGTCTTTGTAGCATTCAGCAGAAAAAGGCCTAGACCTCTGCTTTTATTCTCTGAAATATTTTGTTGAGCTTGGAGATGCGGCAGAGAATACTGGATTCTATGGAGAAGGAAATCCTAGGTTTGACTTCATTTTTGGAATCTGGATAGCTCAGATGACCATTCAGGGATTATATATACCCCCTTTACTTTCTGGATCTTTCTGGGAATTTATTGGGTCTGTCTGAGGAGAATGAAGAATACTCTAAATTAGTCTATTGTCTTTTTAGATTTGATGAGGCGTCAAGAAGAACTCCGGAGGATGGAAGAGCTGCACAACCAAGAAGTGCAAAAACGAAAGCAGCTGGAGCTCAGGTAACTAACTCTCAAACCCTTTTTTTCTGACCGCTCTAAAAGGTAATGTCTCATTCCTGTTTCCTACCACCATGCTACCTCATGCGTTTGTAAATGTGTTGGCAAATAGTTCCTGGCCGGGTGGGAATTATTTCGGCTGCTCATGGTTCTAGGAGTTATCCAGAGCTGCACTAAAGGGAAAGCAGCTGAGTGCTGATATCATGAGGCCTCTTTGTGAAAGAACTTTTTTTCCCTGAATGACACATGTGGGTTGCTTTGGGGCTGGACACATTAACAGTGAATTTTTTGGAAAGCTATGATAGTTTTCAGTAGGCTCTTAATCTCCTTGGCTGAGTCCCTGTTAAGATAATCTGCTCAAGGGGCGCCTGGGTGGCTCAGTCGGTTAAGCGTCTGACTTCGGCTCAGGTCATGATCTCGCGGTTCGAGGGTTCGAGCCCCGCGTCGGGCTCTGTGCTGACAGCTCAGAGCCTGGAGCCTGTTGCAGATTCTGTATCTCCCTCTCTCTCTGACCCTCCCCTGCTCACACTCTCTCTGTCTCTCAGAAAAAAAAGAGAAAGATAATCTGCTCAAGTTCTGGAATGTCTCTGCCTAAATATCTTGGTGACTCTCTGTAGGCAGGAGGAAGAGCGCAGGCGCCGTGAGGAAGAGATGCGGCGGCAACAGGAAGAAATGATGCGGCGACAGCAGGAAGGATTCAAGGGAACATTCCCTGATGCGGTATTATCTCCCATGTCCTGATACGACAAACCCACCAATTGTCCAGTGGGACTATATATAACATTCCAGGTTATGAGTGGTTTTTGTAGTCTATGAAACTCCTCTTTTAGAAAGAATTAATAGGAAGGAAAGGTAAAGCTTGAAGGGGAGTTCTTGCCTCGCAGGCAATTTAGGATGAAGAGCTGGGGCCAGCGTATACTGTTTAGACTCAGCGACCGCCCGATGGGCTCTATTCAGTCCTGTGGCAGCCTTGACTAGTTCTCTCGTGTCCTTGGAGTTGTTGCACATATTGGGGTCCTAGAAGAAATCAACTATCTTTCCCCTTGGCTTTTACCTCTCTGTTCCGTATAGGAGACTCTGACTTGTGTCCTTGTAGGTCTAACCTTGAATCCACTGCACAACTAACAAGGGAATGTTGGTTTTCCTCAGCTTGGTCTCCGTGTACTTGGAATGTGTTAATCACTCTTATCTGCTTCCCTTAGTGTGTGTCCTCAGTATATTGTGAATGGTAGAGTGCAGTGCTGTCTTGGGCTGTATTGAGTATTTCTTATTTTTCAGAGAGAACAGGAGATACGGATGGGCCAGATGGCTATGGGAGGTAAGGACTCATGAGGTTAATGGTTCTGATAATCCATTTTTGTCTCATTTCTGTTGAACTACATAGCTTCTCCGACATGGTCCAGATTTAAGGGGCTGATGTTTCTGGGAGCATCATTTTTGGGTGGGGGTAACTTGTCCTTAGCTCAGAGGTTTTGTTGAATTGTGTTCTCTCACACAGAGATTGACAATCTCTGTCTCCTGTACTGATTACACTGCTCTGCTGTAGGTGCTATGGGCATAAACAACAGAGGCGCCATGCCCCCGGCTCCAGTGCCAGCTGGTACTCCAGCTCCTCCGGGACCTGCCACTATGATGCCAGATGGAACCTTGGGATTGGTAATAAACTGTGGAGCCTTACAGTAATTCCGAATGGTGATAGGAGAAGGGACTTTGTTTTCACAGTCCGTTTGTCTGCCACAATTTTGCTATAGATAACCAGTTTTTAAGACCACTGTTTTCCATTCAATGTAATCTCAAGGGCCTGATTTGAACAAACCCATCCTCAAACTATATTTTGTCTAGCAGTTAAGTAAATGCTTTCTGTTTAGTTGCTACCTTGAGTTAATGAGGTTGTTTTTTTTTTTCTTGTATCGAAGGCAATGATGTGTAGGTATTGTCACATAAAATAGGAATCCAAAAGGCTTTATGGCTCATACAATTCTGAGTTAATCTAGTGTCAAAATTTTATTTTTTATTTAAAAAAAAATTTTTAATGTAGTATTTATTTCCAAGGGAGAGACAGAGACAGCGTGAGCAGGGAAGGGTCAGGGGGGGGGGAGATACAGAATCTGAAACAGACTCCAGGCTCTGAGCTAGCCATCAGCACAGAGCCCAACACGGGGCTCAAACCCACAAACCGTGAGATCATGACTTGAGCCGAAGTCAGACGCTTAACTGACTAAGCCACCCAGGCACCCCTCTAGTGTCAAAATTTTAAAACTGGATGGGCTTAATGTTGCCGAAGAGTGATGGTCTGTCTTGTTCATATACTTAGTTCAGGAAGAAAGACTTAGTTAGAAATTATTCAGCCTGGGAATTCAGTATGTAATATTGTTTAATACATAGGAATAGGGATAGAAAGATAAGGGTAGGATAGTTGGATGGGTCTTTAATTCAGACAGCCTTCTTTCCAGGAATATCCACTTGAGTTCTTTATTTTTTAATGTTTGTTTGTTAGTTTGTTTGTTTTGAGAGCCTACATGAGCAGGGGAGCGGCAGAAAGAGAGAGAGAGAATCCCAAGCAGGCTCTGCATGGTACAGATCCCAACATGGGGATCCATCCCACAAACTGGGAGATTTATGGCCTGAGCTGAAACCAAGAGTTGGACGCTTAACTGACTAAGCCACCCAGGTGCCCCAAGGATGTCCACTGGGGTTCTAAACAGGCTTAATCACCGCTAGAGCATCAAGAGCTTTGAATAGTTGGGTTGCCTGGGTGGCTCAGTGGGTTGATCATAGACTTCGGCTCAGGTCATGATCTCACGGTTCGTGAGTTCAAGCCCCACATCAAGCTTGCTGCTGTCAGTGCGGAGCCTGCTTTGGATTCTCTGTCCCCCTCTCTCTGTACCTCCCCCACTTGTGCTCTCTCTCTCTCAAAAATAAACATTAAGAAAAAGCTTTGAATAGTGGAGTGGAAATGGCCTTCAGGGGAGGCATTACAGATGAGTGGGAAGCTTGGGGCATAGGTTGTATTGTAACATTGCTCTCTTTTTCTCTTTAAGACCCCACCAACAACTGAACGCTTTGGCCAGGCTGCTACCATGGAAGGAATTGGGGCCATTGGTGGAACCCCTCCTGCATTCAACCGTGCAGCTCCTGGAGCTGAATTTGCTCCAAACAAACGTCGCCGATACTAATAAAAATTTCAGTGTCTAGTTTCCCAAAAACCCTTAAAAGAAGGACCCTTTTTGGACTAGCCAGAATTCTGCCCTGGAAAAGTGTTAGGGATTTCTCCCAATAGTTAGGTCTTCCTTGCCTGTACTACTCTAAGGAAGTATGCTGGAGGCTGAGGGCAAGGGAGGGGCGATAACCTTTAACAAATCAATTCTGTGTGGTATGTCGTCTAACTAATTGATTCTGTGTGGTGCATTCCTGAAGTCCCCTGTGATTGTTGAGGGCCTGGTGGGGGGGGACCGTGATAAAATGAATTGAATTAGACCCCCCCACCCCCTTTAATCTTGATCATTCCATTCTTTGTCCATCCTGTTCTATTTGCTTTCTCATTCTTACCCCCTCCAACCCCAGAGACACTGCCACATACACCACAAAAACAAACATCCCCCAATGACCTTAGCCCCGTTGCTCCACTTGCAGGTGGGAATTCAGGCAAATGTCCACAGAGGTCACAGACAACATACATACGGTTCTGTTCTATCCCGTATATTACCCCTTTGTGTCCTAAGGAAGACATTTTCTCTTAGAGATTTTCATTTTAGTGTATCTTTAAAAAACTCTTGTGTTATGTTGCCTCCATCTTCTTTTCTTGGGTAAGGATAACCCAGGAATGGCCCTTTTGTGTCTATGATGTTGCTGTTCACAGCTTTTCTTGATAGGCCTAGCACAATCTTGGGAACAGGGTTGCTGTATGCTGAAGGTCGGACAGTAGCTCTTAGCCTTGCCTATCCTAGGTAGTTACGCTGTGCATTTTTTTTATTGGTGTACCATGTTTGATTTGTCCCTGATATCTTTGGAGTTTTTCTGAGAAATGGAGCAGTAATGCAGCATCAACTTATTAAAATACATTTTAAGCCTTTTAATTTTCTGTGCTATTTTTGAAAGGGAATGGAGGGAGGGGAGTTCTGTGTCAAGAGCTGAGCATAGGCTCTAGAAGACTAAAGCCTTTGCTACCTTGTGCTCTAAAGTATGAATCAATCTAGGCAAACTTGGGGAGGTTGGGTGCATACTATGGCTTAAGTGGTTGACAAAGATTGGTGCTGTTGGCAGTACATAAGACGCAATGAGGATGAGAGGAAAGCAGCTGCTTTGAGAGGAAGAAAATGAGCTGGAGGAACTGGGTACCTTCAATGAGCTGGGAGGGGTCTCAAAATTGGGATTCAGGTTTGAGCAGCTACTGGCATGTCAGGCTTGAAATCGGTCTGGTAAATCTAAAAGTGTCTCAGCAGTGATGAGCTGACCTCACCCAAGTTCCAAGCCCTACTCCGCTTGATCCTTTTTTCTTGAGCCTCGGAGCTAAAATGCTCCTGAGCTCCTTCCGATTGGTTGAGAAGACCAATTGAAGTTCCCTTGCCCATGTTAGGAGGTGTACGCCTCCTGAACTAAAGATAGAAACAGCTGGCCCTTCCAGGCAGCTAAAAGCCTCCAGACTAAGAGGTGTTCCCCACTCGGCAGCCAGACTCCTTGAAATACCCTTTCAGTAATTCTACCAACATCCTCCATGTCTCTACTCTGCCATAACAAAGGCTGCGGGCAACACTTTGACCCCAATGCGAACCTTCCTGGTGAGTAATCCTGACTGCCAGGGGGTCCTGTGAGTGCTGGGGGAGTGGTCAGCTGTGGGCAGTCCGTTAAAGGAGCAGAGAAATTTCATGTATCTGCCCTAGTTTAATTGGTGTGGGTGATCTTCAATCTTTTACTTTTTTTTAATTATTATTCTAAAGAAAAACCACGAGCATGTGAATCTGGGGGAGAGCTAAGAAGTGACATTTGGTATAGTTTTCCTTCCTTGATCCTTCTGCTGGTATCCACAGATTCCTGTTGCCATCACCCTGGGGTCCCAATCTTCCACGATGCACTTAAGGTGAGGAGTAGGCAAGGGGGGATGGATTTCCCAAAGGAAATCTACCCAGGAATCTGGCCTGAGCTGAGTCTTTTGTTATCAGGGTTGGTCCTGCTGCCGGAAGCGAACTGTAGATTTCTCTGAGTTCTTAAACATCAAGGTAAATTATTTGCTTCCTTGAATTCTACCCCCTAATAGAAGGATTCTATCCCTAATCCTTCTCTCCTTATCTGTACTAGGGCTGTACTGTGGGACCACACTGTGCTGAGAAGCTCCCTGAGGCCCCTCAACCTGAGGTGCCTGCCACAAGCAGTTCACTTCAGGAGCAAAAACCTCTGAATACGATCCCAAAGTCAGCAGAGACTTTGCGTCGGGAGAGGCCCAAGTAAAGAGGAGGAGGTCCCTGGGTTTTTCCTACATTCCTGGAGCTTCTTAGAAGTGATTAATGGGTCACTGGGGTTTGGGGACTAGGGATGTGAGGAGCGCCAAGTGTCAGGGCTTTGTGTGTATTTTACACCTTAGGGGAAATTTGTGTCCAGAATTATACTGTCCTTTGCTTTAAGGTTGGTATGGGGTGATGGGATAGGTATTGAGTCAACAGCAGATAGCCCGTCGCAAATACATACTTAGTTATAATACAAGCAGGATTGTGGAGAATGACTTGATTTGTTTTTCGTTTTGGAAAAAAACCCTTTTTTTTTAAATTAAAATTTACTGAGAGAGAGAGGAGAGAGAGAGAGAGAGAGAGAATGACTCCCAAGCAGGCTCCATGCCATCGGCACACAGCCCACCGTAGGGCTTGAATTCACGAACCATGAGAGTATGACCTGAGCCAAAATCAAGACGCTTAACCAACTGAGCCACCCAGATGCCCCTTGGAAAAAAAGCTTTGGAATGAGTTTTACATCAAGAAAAAGATGTAGTATTGGCAGTTATGAGGCTGTAGAGAATAATTTTGTGGAAGAAGTATGAGTAACAGAAGAAAGTCATATTAGATCTGCAATTAGAGAAGGATGAGGATATGATACAGTTCTGCAGGGAAATATTAACATTTTAAAGCAACTGAGTAGATGGGCAAGAAAACCTCCGGGGATTTCCCCAGGGCTCAGGGACTTGGGATGTCCACAAAGAAAAAGAAATTGGCAATGCAGTTGCTACCCAACTTTTCCACCCCTGCCCCCACTTTCACCAGACTTACTCGATACCATTACCACTGGTGGGAGTGTTGGAGCTGTTGATCATGATTTATGGGTCAGAACTAAATCACTCCACCCGTAACCCCTAGGTCAGAGTTACCTCCAAAGCTGCTTCCACTAAATATATCCCAAGCTCTGGAAATGGCATTGGAACAGAAGGAATTAGACCAAGAACCTGGAGCAGGTAAGTGGGTCTTTAGTAGGACAGGCTTCGCAGACTGGAATTTAGTGAAAGTGGCAATTAGATGGAGGGAATGGATAGGTTCCTGACTCTGTTTCCCTTGCCCAGGACTTGACAGTAGTCTGATCCGGATGGGTTCCAGCTGCCAGAATCCAGGATGTGATGCTGTGAGTGAGAGCTGATGGGGGCACAGGCATGTGGCTGAGAAATCCTTTACCTGGGATGACTGGGTATAGGTATGAGGCTGTGTGGGGTATACTTTCAAATGACCTGATTCTTTTCTGGATTCTCCTTTATCCATCTTAGGTTTACCAAGGCCCTGAGAGTGATGCTACTCCATGTACCTACCACCCAGGAGCACCTCGATTCCATGAGGGGTGAGAAAGGGGGCCTATGAGACGGGTTTCTCCCAATGTTGATCATAAGGTGGGAGTGAGGGCTCATGGGGAAGGGAAAGGAGATGCAGTTGAATTATCTTCCCACCTCAGGATGAAGTCCTGGAGCTGTTGTGGCATCCAGACCCTGGATTTTGGGGCATTCCTGGCACAGCCAGGATGCAGAGTTGGTAGACATGACTGGGGGAAGCAGGTAAGCCCCAACTTTCCTGAACTTTTGATTAGAACCAAATTCCAGAAATAAGTTCCCCTCCCTGTACCAGATAAGATTCTGCTCCTTATCCTCAGCAGCCCAGAGGCTTTGCAATATGAAGTAGTAGCAATCTTTCTGGATTCCATGTCTCTTCTCTAGACACACCTGAGACCTCTCCTTGGGTTGAGTTCATTCTTACCACCCACATTTGGCTTCTCTTTAGCTGCCAGCATCTTGCCGTCATGATTGGCACCAGACAGATTCCGTAGTAGTGGTGACTGTGTATGGCCACATTCCACTTCCTGCGTTCAATTGGGTGAAGGCCAGTCAAACTGAGGTGAGGAATGTCTGCTGCTGGATGGGAGGCTGGTGGATTGGGTGATATTACAGTGTTACAGGCAGAGTTGCTGTGTGCGGTTAACACGTGGACTTCTCTGAGAGGAAGGTAGAGCTAGTAGGTCAGGGCTGTCTGGCTGACGTGTGGATGTAGGGATCACACCTCTTGCGTGGTTCTCTGTTGTAGTAACCTGTTCTGACCTTCTGGGACTGTTACTACTCCTGCAATTCTTTTTCTCAGCTTCATGTCCACGTTGTCTTTGATGGTAACCGTGTGTTCCAAGCACAGATGAAGCTCTGGGGGGTAAGTGAAGATAAGGGACACAGGACGGGGAGGAAGATGGGTGAAAAGAAGGACCAGATTGGAATGAACAGAGGGTATCTTGAGGGAAGGAATTATAGTGGGAAAGTGGAGGTTTTCTCTTCATTTGCTTTGATATTCTCTCTCTCCCCCTCTCCCTCCCTTTTTTCTCCCCCCCCCTCTCCCATTTCTTTCCTCTTTCTCTCTTACTATATTGCTTTATTCCTCCCCATCTTGTTTTCCGCACCTTACATTTATTTATTGGTCATTTATCACCACCCCACCCTGACCACAAAACCTCATTTTCTCTTTCTTCTGTGTTCCTCTATCTTTTCCTCCTCCTCAGGTCATAAACGTGGAGCAGAGCTCTGTCTCCTTGATGCCATCTCGGGTTGAAATCTCCTTGGTCAAGGCTGACCCAGGATCCTGGGCCCAGCTGGAGCACCCCGATGCGCTAACTGAGAAGGCTAAGGCAGGGACTGAGTTAGAGATGGATGAGGAAGAATCTGAGGATTCAGATGATGATCTGAGCTGGACAGAGGAGGAGGAAGAGGAGGAAGCGATGGGGGAATAGTGACACCAGTCAAGTATCTAGATAGGACCTCAGTGGTTCCCTTAGAATCTCAGAGACCAGGATGTGGTTGGCCATTTGCTGTTAATGAGCAGCAGCAAGCTGAGGGAGGGGAGAACAAAAGTGTCCAAACCGTGCCTTTTTTTCCCCTAAATAAATCTTATATTCTGCAGTTTCACATAGTGTCGTTCTCTCACCTCACTACTTAAGATTTTATTCATCCCCCCAACTTCTGTGTATGTTTAACACACGTGTGTGGAAACAAGCACATGCACATTCAACCTGTTCTTTACAAACACCCAGTAATCTACTGAGTACTTACTGTGTGCCCAGTTGTGTGTTAGGTGGTTTAGGGCTATCTGAGAAACAGAAGGCTTATTTACTCCTCTCAGGAAAATTATAGTCTGGCTGACAGGCTAATCTACATGAAATATTAAAAAACATTGTCAAGTAGTTTAGCTGAGTGTTAACTTGTGCTGTACAGTTATTAAGAGCCGTAGGAGTTGAGAATGGAGCGATTAATGTGGACTATAGGAGAAAGGGAGAGCTCCGTGGAAGAACATTTTTTAACAGCTTTGTTGGGAAACAATTCACATTCCACACAATTCACCCATTAAAGCATAGAATGCAGTGTGTTGTTTTTTTTTTTTTTAAGTATGCTCAGGGTTGTGCAGCCCACAACCAATTTTCATCCCTCCAAAAAGAAACCTTGTACCCATTTGCAGTTACTACCAGTTCCCTTCAAACTCATGGCTGTGGGCAACCACTAATTGACCTCTATGGATTTACCTGTTCTGGGTATTTCATATGAATGGAATCCTACAACATGTGGTCTTTTGTAAGAGGCTTCTTTCACTTAGCATACATGTTTTCATGGGTCATTCATATTGTAACATGTATCAGAACGCCATTCCTTTTTATGGTTGAATAATATTCCACTGCATGGATAGATCACATTATGTTTATTTCATCAATTGAGGTAACATTTGGGTTGTTTCCATTATTACGAATAATGCTTCCGTCAACATTCATGTACAAGTTTTTATGTAGACTTATGTCGTCACTTCTCTTGGATGTATAACTGGGAGTATAATTTATGGGTCAAATGGTAACTTTAACCTTTTGAGAAACTGCCAGACTGTTTTTCCAAAGAGGTTGTACCATTTTACATACCCATCAGCAGTGTAAGAAGGTTTCAGTTTCTCCACATCTTCAGTAACACTTGCTATTTGTCTTTTTTATTATGGCCATCCCTAGTGGGTGTGAAGTGGAATTTCATTATGTTTTTATTAAATCTTTTTTAATGTTTTTACTTATTATTGAGAGACAGAGAGAGACAGAGCATGAGCAGGGGAGGGGCAGAGAGAGGGGGAGACACAGAATCTGAGGGAGGCTCCAGGCTCTGAGCTGTCAGCACAGAGCCCAATGCGGGGCTCAAACTCACAAACCGTAAGATCATGACCTGAGCCGAAGTCGGACGCTTAACCGACTGAGCCATCCAGGCGTCCCTCATTATGGTTTTACCTACATTTCTTTGACGGCTAATGATGTTGAGCATCTTTTCACATGCTTATTGGACATTTGTGTTCTTATTTGGAGAAATGTCTATTCAAATCCTCTGTCCATTTATTAACTGGATTGTCTTTTTATTGAGTTGTGAGAATTTCTTTAATATAGTCTGGAGACAAATCTCTTGTCAGATAGATGATTTGGGAATATTTTCTCCCATTCTGTGTTTTGCCTTTCTACTTCCTTGATGGTGTCCTTTGATACACCAAAAGTTTTTAATTTTTATGAGTGTAATTTATCTTTCCTTTGGTTGCTTAATGTTTTTGATGTCCTAGGCGAAAAGCCATTGTTTAATCCAAGGTCATGAAAATTTGTCCCTCTTTTCCACTGAGTGTTTTATAGTTTCAGCTCTTACACTTAGGTCTTTGATCCATTTTGAGTTGTTTTTTGTATGTGGCATGAGGTAGGGGTTTAGGTTTATGTTTTTGCACACGGGTATCTAGGTGTCCCAGCAACATTTGTTGAGAAGGCTATTCTGTCCCCATTGCCTTATCTTGGCACCCTCGTTGAAAATCAACTGACCATGAATGTAAGGGGTAAGAAATACATTTTGAATGGAAACCTGTAGGAATGAGAAATTTGGATGGATATGGAAGAGTGGGGAGAGCCACGCTGAGGCAGGAAGGTGTTTTATTATGAATTCCAAAAGTAATACATTGTCACTGTAAAATGCTCAGCGCAGAAGTATGTAGTATGTAAATGTTCCTCTTACGACTCTCTCCAAGCTTAGTCCCTTTGCTGTTTGTAACCACTGCTAACATATCAGGAGGTATGTTTAAGGGAGGGGACAAAAAAGTTAGCTGAGTGTAGCTAGATTGGGAGGAGCCTGTTAATTCTAGATGAAGGATTTGGAACATTATTTAAAAGAGAGTTAGAGAGGCAGTATAGGCCTTCTTTTAATGTAGATTTTTAATCAGAGGAGTGATAATCTCTTTCTTGAGTCTCCCTTGAGCCAGAGTTACTCCCTCAACAAAGTGGCCGGGAATCTGGGAGATTCAAAGTCTAAGAAACCTCAAAGTAGGAAGCCTCGCCAAACCTCAAAATGATCTCAAATTCTTTTCATAGCACACTTTTCTCTCAGTTCAGATTCAAGGAACATAAAGTCTCATCGGGAGGTAGAGGTAAGATGGGAGTGAGAGAATGGACGTGGGCAGCAAAGGTAAGGGAGCACAGGATAGCATGGCTGAGGATTTGGAGATTGAGGCAGGATTAGGGGATACTGGGGAATGCATCCACAAATGCATCTCTGCATCACAGAGAAGTGTGATCAGAGGTGAAGAGGCTTCCTGGACCTCCAGGATATTCAACAATTCTGGCTCATTTCTCTGCTCTCATTCTACGGATTTGAGGTGCAAGTAAAGTTTCCCCCTTGACTCAAGCCCTTCAGATCCTTTAAAACCCTGGCAGCAGTTTACTTTTACTGTCATTTTTCTCCAGGTGAGTCAACATCAGTAGGGGCTTTGGTGGACACTTAAAACTTTTAGAGGTGGAGATTGCATATAGAAAAGTGCATAAAGTGCACTAACCTTAAATGTACAACTTTTTTCTATCTTATCACAATCAGGAGACCAGCAACTACCCAGAATTCCTGGCGAGGATGAAGGTGAGGAATCAAAAAGTTTAAGTAACCATTGTGTATAAACTCGATATATAAAATTTCAAGTTCCAGTAGTGTACTTCCTCATCTCATGCAGTCCAAAGGCTAAAATGTTAAGACAGTTGAGCAGGTGCATACCAGTAGCGGTAATAACAACAATCACCATGGCTACAGTTTCTCATACAAACCTTCCAGGTGCTATGCTAAGTGCTTTGCATGCATGACCTCATTTACTCCCCTACTTCCCACCATCAGATGTACATCTTCGTTCACGTTAGCACAGATCCTCCCCTTACCTCCTACACTTTCTCGTTTCTTCCCATTGTGCTTTGTATCCTGTCCCCTCACACCTTCCCAGAAACTTTACACTATTAATTATCCTTTCTCTCTGCTGTTTGTTCAACCTTTCCCTCTCATTGAGTTATTTTCAGTGACATTTTTTTTTAATTTTTTTCTAAGGTTTATTTATTTCTAGGAGAGAGAGAGAGAGAGACAGCGTGAGCAGGGGAGGGTCAGAGAGAGAGGGAGTCACAGACTGAAACAGGCTCCAGGCTCTGAGCTGGCAGTCAGCACAGAGCCCGACGCGGGGCTCGAACCCACGAACCGCGAGATCATGACCTAAGCGAAAGTCGGACGCTTAACCGACTAAGCCACCCAGGCGCCCCATTTTCAGTGACATTTAAACATGCTCAAGTCTCTCCAATTTTACAAAAACAATTTCCTTTGACTACACAACCCTTTCCAACTGCTACTTCACTCTCTTCTCCTTTATAAGCAAACTTCTTGAAATAACTATTCAGTTTCTATTTCCTCCTTCCTAGTACCGTCAAAACACACTTCAGTCTGACTTTCAACCCGCTCAGTCTGTGGTGATCAGGTCACTTTGGGCCATCAAGTCACTAAATCCAATGGATGCTTTTAGTCGTTGTCGTACTTGATCTCACAAACACAATTTGACACTCTTGATGGTTTCCTCCTTGAAATACTTTTAATACGTTGGCTTCTAGGACCCATCACTCCTCTTGGTTGTCCTCCTACTTCTCTGGCTGTTCCTTTAGGTCTCTTTTGCAGGGTTCTTCCTTTCCTACCTGGCCATTGAATGATGAAGTTCCTCAGGACTTAGTCCGGGTCTTCCTCTCTTCTTATATATGACTCTTCCAGACACTCTCAATTATGCCCATGATTGCAAATACCACCCACATGTAGATGACTCACACATTTTTATCTCTAGGCCATATCTTTCCTTTGAGGTCCAGATTTGTAGATCATAGTAGTAATAGCTTACACAATTCTCTCTCTCACTGCCCCCCCCCCCGCTTGTGTGAGCACGTGCGTGCTGTCTCACAAAATAAATTAATAACCTTAAAAAAAATAGCTAACACATATTTAGAACAGCACCTGGCATATATAGTAAGCACTATGTAACTGTTTGCTGTTATTAGTGCTACTATTATTCCTCTCTCTCTTTAAATTGTTTTAATGTTTTTTGTTTATTCCTGAGAGAGAGAGAGAGAGAGAGAGAGACACACAGCGTGAGCAAGGGAGGGTCAGAGAGAGAGGGAGACACAGAATCTGAAGCAGGCTCCAGACTCTGAGCTAGCCATCAGCACAGAACCCGATGCAGGGCTTGAACCCACAAACCATGAGATTATGACCTGAGCCAAAGTCGGGCGCTTAACCGACTGAGCCACCCAGGCGCCCCATCCTCTCTCTCTTTACTAAAAGCTTTCACTTCAGACTAGTAGGAAAGTTGGGGTGTTTTTTTTTTTTTCTCTTCGAGAGGAGGGACACATCTCTAATATCTAATTTTATGATGTTTCAATAAGAAAATAGGATTTTTTTGACAGTCAGATCTTGCTGGTCTACAAAGTGACAACATATTTAACATAGCATTGCATCGGCTCCAGGATTAAGGGAGATTGTATTCACCTGCTGATGGAATAAAGTATCCTGTATAGAATGCCACTGTGATCACCACTTCTACCCACATTATTTTACTTAATCCTCACACC